GTTTTGACAGAGATACAGTGGGATTGATGTTAGCATAATAGACTGATAGCTTTCACCTGGATTTATTTGGTTGACCTATATTATGGCAAGAGGCCTAAATTCAGCAATCTCTGTAGCAGTCTAATACTAATCTGGTGGGCAGTGGTGTGTCAGGAAGCCAGCTTCTATCACAGGAGCGACCTAATGCATTATTAACCTCAAACACTTTTTACATAAACCCATCCCTCTCCTTGTTTCAGCTCAACATGGTTAAATATTTAAGCAGAGAGCCAGCAAGTTGCACAAAACACTCAGTTTGTTTGGTTTGAAAGCGTTTCCCCAGTGTGAGGGGGGAGAAAGACAAATCTTTCTGAAAGAGGCTCTTTGGGGCCTTCATTGAAGTAACAGACACATTTCAACCAGAAGGAAATGCTGCAAGATGTGGATTCTGCTCTGGGTGTGCAGGATGCTTTTTCACCACTAATCCACACATCCTCTTTGCTGTTTATTTTTATTTCATTTAATGTACCATAAAGGCAAATAAATGGGTGAATTTGTATTCAACTTTTCCTAGTAGATTTTTCTTTTTTTTCCAGATCATCCTCTACCTTCCTAGTAAAATTTAGATAGGTAGACACTGAGCTGGATAATTTAGCCAATTTACTAATTGAAAAACCTTATATCAGTTACTTTAATTAATTGTCCAAAATTATTTTTATTTCACATTGTTGACTGGTAACTAATGTTGCCATGGAAACATCTCCTTTGAGCCAGCTAAAGGACTCAGCAACTTAACTTTGATTTAAAATAATCTACAAACTAAGAATTAAAATTATTTTATAGGTAGAAATATTAAAACATGTTTTGATTCAGATTGCTGTACATGATTTTATTTCTCCTTTCCTGTCCAGCATGCAGAGTTTAAGTGAAGCCTTTACCAATATGCCTCTTCTAATCTGTTCTGCAAAGGAGTCAAAAATCTTCCCTTCTGTTGCAACCTTTTTTATTCTTAATCAGAGAAGGTCACCACATGGTGTTAGCTGAAGGGGACACATAAAAAAGGCAAGAGAAGAAATAAAACCGGCAGAACAAAAACCAGCAAATGCACCATTTTTCTTTTTCCACATAAAAAGCAAACGAACAAAAAGAAAACAGGATGTGTGCTGTAGAAAACTTTACACATCCTCTGTATATGTACCTACTGATGGCTACTTCCAGTCAAAGGCTCAGTTAATATAAACAGGATGAACTACTGTGGAGTCTGAACACAACTAATGATCCTTTGCATGAAACTATATGCACAGAATAAGACTTAAAGACAGAAGAAAATATATTACTGCATATGATTTGATACGAAAAAGATTAAAACGTTCAAATAAAGAAAAGTAACCATAAAGGAAATAAACACAAATTTGACTTTCACATAATTACAGCATCAAACAACAACATATGACTAAATATTTCATATTTTTGCTATTAAAATTTTGTCTTTTTTTGATAATTTTAATTCAGTAAAAAGATTAAAACATCCTTTCCAGTTTGAAAAGCTAGGTCTTGTATCATAGCAACCTTCTCACCACCTGAGAAGAAGCAGGTTTGGAGCTTTCAGCAATGTGAGTGCAAGTGTGTTATTGCAACACAAAGAGGGTATATCAAAAGAGGGAATCAGTTGGTGGTTGAATGTAATAAGACAAGCCGACTCCTAGAATTCAGATGGTTTACTTGTGGTTTTACTGAATATTCTGATTCCAGCCATCATTATAAAAGGCAGAGATTTTTGTGAGTAGATGAAGGGGGCTGTTTCAAGGCAGCAAAGAATTAGACTTGAGGCATCAGAGGGAGAGCAGAAATGAGAAGGAGGGATAAATCTTTCATCTGAACATCACTACCGGGCGTTTTCTTTTTTTTAACTGAAATAAAAAACACAATCCAATATTAATGTGCATGTCTTCTTCTCAGAGAGGGTGCATGAGGCAAACCCTATTTTTAAATTCACTTGCAGTACCTGTGGGGGGGTACATTCCATACAATGGGAATGGATTGAAAAGACGACACCGAATGCTTTGGGGAAAGAAACAAGAGTATGTAGATGCAATGAATAAAAGATGAATGATGTCTGTGTATCTAACTAAAATAGCTTAGTTTAATATACACTAGTGGAGTAGAGACAGAGAGCAATAAGTAGACCTAAGAGAGTCTCAGAGGTTATTTGATGAAAGAATTATAAAACACTGGAAAGAGACACACTGAAATTACAGCTTAGATGTTTCTAGAATGAAATAATTGACTCTTTCCTCATTCCTGTAATAAATTTTCTGCCAAGAAGCTGAAAAAAGTAAGGTAAAATTTGGATAAAAAGCTAAATACAAATATTACCTAAGGATTTGCATAGGAAGAGCACCAATATTCCAGGTTTAAATTCATATTAATCAACATTTTAATATGTATTTAATGCATTAATATGAAGTTAACACGGGGGAGAGGTGGCCTAGTGGTTAGGCATAGAGCTTGGAATCCTGAGGTTCTGAGTTCGAACCCCACTCCTACAGACTGCCACTCTGGCTCTCTGAGCAAAGACCCTTAACCCCACACTGCTCCCCTGGCGCCGCATGATGGCTGCCCACTGCTCCCCAAGGACAGTTGCAGAGGGATTATTTCATTGTTCTGTACTTGTGACAGTTCAATGACAATAAAATGCTGGAAAAACAAAACGAAAAAAAAAAAAACATTAAACAGTCTGAATAAAATAAATAAATGATCAAAACAAGTGGTTGCTTTCACATTTAGATTGGGGAAAATAAATGCATTTTTTTTTTTTTTTTTTTTTTTTGGTGTCAGAAGATGGGACAGATGTCTCTTCCAGCAGACACTCCCTGCAAATCATTATAATGTGCCTAGACCATTTGGCTTGTTTTTTTTATATGTTATTTATACATTTTTTGTTTGACCTAATTTTATAGCTATCAAACTTCTGTGTTGTAGTTTGATCCTTCTTATTCGTGTCTATCCATTGGGTTGTTAAATCTCTGGCCTCTTTGCCGAAACAGAGTCTCTAACAACCATTAATAATTTATCAGCCAGTATTATCCTGCACGCATGTAAGTCTAAACAAACCAATCCAAGGAGTTGTGCATTTGAATTCCCCCATAAACCATAAATGTTCCCCAGATCTACCAAACTCATGAGGGCTGAACAACACACCTCCCATGGACAATTTTAAAAACATTATCTCCTTCAAGTACAATAAACTAATAAATACACCTAATAGCGAGCATGAAGGAAGATAGTTGCACGCTCTGCCCTCCCTAGATGTAATGCTGATGAAGGACATTTACCAAAATAGGCCCACAATGTTCAATGCCTTCAACATCAAGGAATAAATCTCATCTCCTTCAGTTTTTCTGCTACTGTACCATCAGAGCATTTATCTACTGTGATGTCCATGATAGCCATGATAATGGACTTGACTTCCTGGTATGCAATATTTTTCTCCTCCAAAAACAATTCCTCGACTTGTTGCTTTCAGGAGAACCTTAAAATGCTTCTTTCATGGTCAAAAAATGACAATAGGGACATCCTTTTAACTTTCAGCTTTTTCCTGAAACACCAGCACCTACGGCATCTTTCAGGTTGATGGCTTCCATCATCGTCGGTGCCCACCTACGTCTCTTTTCTTCTGCTTGACAATGGGCGTCAGGCCACAGTGTCTGAATAAATAGCATGCCATAGTAACTACATTCCTCATATTTATATATACAAAACTGATTCACAGCACTGTAGGAAAATAACAAGTCTATTGATTTCTTTTCTTGATGTGGACTCATTTATTTTCCAAACAGAGAGATAATTACAAGCCGAGTTCTCACTGTTTTTGCAGTCCTACGAAGTGCGGAGGTGTTTATGAGTCCTCCTTGGAGACAATTCTGTTGTATTTAAAAAAAAAATTAGAATATTTACTGAAATTTCCAATATTTTCCATTATTTTGCATTCATCTCACATGTTACAGACATCATTTCTGATGTTTCTTTATGAAAGTTGGTGAATAATGAATGAATATGACCAGCGATGGAAGAAAAAAAAAAATCTAGTCGACTCTTTTGAGCTGATAATAAATGAGTCACGGGCTGGGATTTTTCATCAATATATTCTCCAGAGTGTCACATGGCTGTGAGACACAGCACGTGGATTGGGTTGAGTTGAGCATGCACACAGTTATAAAACATGCAGAAACACACACGTACACACACCCAGGCGCACTTTAAAGAGCTCAACTTCACAGAAACAGTGTATCTTTAGGGATCCTCCACGAGGCCTGACAAGCCTGATGAGGACTCGACGCAAGCGTGCACACTGAACATAAAACATCTGTCTCCTAGCTCTAGCGCCTGACAGCTGATTTGGTTACATATTACTTTTATATAATGCAATTCAAGTTATTTAGAAACAAATGTGCATTTTATCCTATCAATTATATCTTTCTATGTTGCTGCTTGAAAAACAACATTTACGTTGTAGTTATTTTGCAGGGGGAAAAAAGCAAAACATTTTTGCTTATGTTTTGTAAATGGAGCTCATTTAAATGCATGTTAATATGTGGGAGTGAGTACGAGGTATAAAATATTTATCACTGTGACAATGCCATTAAATGTGCTGCAGAAGTAGCTGAAATGTCACTGGCTGATTTGTTTTCAGATGTGCGCAAAGTCTTTGGTTTCAAATCATACATTTATGAAAGAGATTTTTATTTTAGCATTGAATGTTGGTTTCAAAAGTTAAGCAGGTTTAGTATTAAACTTTTCATATTCATCAGGATTAGTAAAAAGAAAAAAGAAGTCTCATTGCAGAGGACAAACCTTGTTATAAAAGGGGTGCAGTTTAAAGAGTAATAAGTAAACACATTGATTTGTGCCCAGATCACTCTGACCTGGCTACCTTCCCAACTGCAAATTCCTTGAAATTGGAGAAAGATAAAAACTGGATGAATTAACCCTGGGTGCAACCCAGTCTCTTGTCACCTTTCTGCAATAAACAGCTAGAAAGGAAAATCATCTGCAGAAGACAGAAACATGTGAGTACATTAATTTCAGAAGACCTTGTTTCGTTGGGTTGTTAAAAAAAAAAGATCAAGTCTAAATGTTGTCAATGTAAATAATGGCCGTTTTGAAAGACAGGAATATGATAAAAAAAACACCTCAGTAAAAGTTTTAATCATGTTCAAAATTTCCAAATGTTTGTAGTTTATCGTGTTTTTGCTGTTTTGCCCTTTTTAACCACGTGTTCCTTGCAAATGTATTCTAGCTTTAGCAGTAATCCACAAAAAAAACCCCATAATTTTAAAAGCAGTTCCTGTTCGTATATGATTAACCAACATAAAATATGGCATAATTCTTAGCTCTTTTGCAGAACCAGCTATCATTGCAGTTATTCTAAATGATCTTTGGTTGTTTCTCTACAAGCTGGAAACTTAACTCTCTGCTAATTTTTCTATATAGATATTCATAACAGACCAAGCTCAGTCAAATGAGCCAGCAGTTTCTGGGTCTTGCAATAGAATAACAAATTTATTTAGGTGTGGACTTGTCTTTTTACTGCATACATATAAATAAAATTCTATATAGATAGAATAAACACTTCTTGTTGCAGTAAAGGACCAGCTTGATCGCCCCTAAAATTTCCCATTAGAACTTGTGAAACAGAGTCAGACATACTTTAATAATCCCAGAGGGAAATTACTTTAGTGGCTGGGTCATTTAGAGCAGGAGAGAGAATTTTATTCACTGACCTGACCTATGTCCTTAATACAATGAGGTTTGAGATCGGTTTGGGTCAGTGCTAAATTTTGGGAGTGCATGGAGGGTAGATCCAATTGTTCATTGGGTTCTGGACGGCCTAAGCTGAGATGGTTCAGATGCACTGATCAGTGTCTGATGACATCATTGTCCATAAACGTGCACCACAAAGATGTGTGCCATCACTTATGTATTCTCTGCACATTAATGTCCTGAAAATAGAAGATAGAAAAGTTACACTCTTTCAATATGCTGACAATATGGCTGTGGTGAGTATTTTTGTCAATAAAGTTAGCTGTGATTATAAGGCTGAAGTGTACATGGTTGAACAGTGGTGTAAGAAATATTTCCTCATTATCAATGTTATTAAGACCAAGGAGCCGTGGTGGGCTGCGAGGGCCTTTAAAGCCTTCTCTGCTGGCCTTAAAATCAATCAGAAACACTAACATATATCCTTAACGTAAACTTTAATTTTCTTCTTTCCAGCTCTATTAATTTATTCAAAACAATTAATTCTCTTAATTTTGTATGTATATCTCTTGATGACTGAGCTGCTTCCATTAAATTTATGTGGTCTCTATATTTTTTGTCCAATCAGATTTCAGCCTTAGTGCATTGCTATGTCAATCAATCTGCCCAGGGCCTTCAGAATCAGATGTTATCTAACAATATTATTGATGAGCATTTTCTTCAACAGAAAACTGCACAGTGCTGCCTGCTGCATCCTGACACTAAGTATAAAAGGATTTACCTTAGCAGAGTGAAAGCCACAATTAAAGGAGACTGACCCTCTAAAAAGGGTCTGAAATGGTACAGCATCATCCTATTAATGACAATTAATCATGTCCTTTCTTTTTTTCTTTTCTTTTTTTTTTTTTTTAACAGAGGCTTTCCCGATAAAAATCATGCCATTTCTTCTGCCTGGTCTATTTCCAACATCTGAAGTTCAAACCCCACAGCTGGCAAATGCTCTGAGCCTTGCCATCCACTCTCCATCTCCCATACCTTTATGGCTCTTTGGCCATTCTTTGCCTCCCATTTTACTTTTAGAAATTCTAGGAACCACTGGGAACCAAGTGAGTGTTTGGAACACCAGAAACAATCAGATCTCTAATATAAGATGGATCTTGGTTGTTTATGGGTATATAGGTGAGAAGGGGGATTTTGAATTCTATTCTTGTCATGATTCCTGGCATGAGTGCTGGTTTGATTCAGGATTCAACACACCTGTCAGCTCTGCCCTGTTTCCACTCAGCCTCCATCAAATTTTCCCTCTTACCTAACTGTATAACCAGCTCTCAGGCCAGTGACTAGTGCCAGATTATTACGAGTATTCCTGTAAACCTGCCTGCCTGCCTGACCCCCATTGGACCTGTCTTAGTGTCTTTTGGATCTCTGACTTGTATTCTGTGATGCAATTGCTGATTCTGGTGAATCTCTCCCGACCAGCGCCAGTTTAATTCCAATAAACTGTTTAAAGGTCTCTTGCTCCGGTTGAATCTGGGTCTTCCATTATCTGGTCATTATAATTCTAGATTTAACAGGAAGCCATTAAAAGGAAGCTAAAAATGGAGGAATATGTACTCATTTTAAAGTTTTTATCAGAACTATAGCTGCAAAAGGAAAAAATATAAAAGTCTTTGAATGCAAGTGAATTTTATTAAAGACGTTAAGCTTTGGTCTTAGATAAGGAAAAGCATAACAGGAAGTGAAGCCTCTGCTATGGTAGAATTTTCTTCTCTTGTGTCAATTTCCAGATGATGTTGCACAGGTTTTAATGGTCTGAAGTTTTTCCATACCTCCAGCACATGTAGGGACTCTGGTGTGGATATTTAGATGGGTTTTCAGAGAAGATCTATGACCAAAGCTTTTCCCACACTGATGGCAGACGAAAGGCTTTTCGCCGGTGTGAATGGCGAGATGGTAATTCAAATGTCCTTTCTGACGGAATTGCTTTCCACACTGATGGCAGACAAAAGGCTTTTCGCCGGTGTGAATGGGTAGATGGCGATTCAATTCTCCTTTCTGGTGGAATTGCTTCCCACACTGATGGCAGACGAAAGGCTTTTCGCCGGTGTGAATTTTTAGATGGCAATTCAAATTTCCTTTTGTGCGGAATTGCTTCCCACACTGATGGCAGACGAAAGGCTTTTCGCCGGTGTGAATGGCGAGATGGTAATTCAAATGTCCTTTCTGGCGGAATTGCTTTCCACACTGATGGCAGACGAAAGTCTTTTCGCCGGTGTGAATGTTTAGATGGCAATTCAAATTTCCTTTCGTGCGGCATTGCTTCCCACACTGATGGCAGACGAAAGGCTTTTCGCCGGTGTGAATGGGTAGATGGCGATTCAAATCTCCTTTCTGGCGGAATTGCTTCCCACACTGATGGCAGACGAAAGGCTTTTCGCCGGTGTGAATTTTTAGATGGCAATTCAAATTTCCTTTCGTGCGGAATTGCTTCCCACAGTGCAGGCAGAGGAAAGGCTTTTCGCCGGTGTGGATAATCAGGTGTGTTTTCAAACCATGAGATCTCTTAAAACCCTTTCCACAGTGGTCACAGCGATGTACTGATTTCTCAGAGATATTCTGCTGATCCAGGTCTCTGTTTTCCACATTACTGATGTCCATCTGTAAGAGAACAAAAACGAAAAATCCATCAATTATTTGGTACCACTGAATATAGTGTAAACCCGTTTTGATGCCTAATGTGGACCAAAGTTATGGTTCTTCATAAGAAAAGCTTAAACTCAGAATGACTTACTGGAGCTTGAGACATTGCTTGGATGTGTATGTCAGTGTTTTCTCTTTCTTTTTTGACTATCCTGCTTAAAGAAGAACAGTTTAGTTATTGCATACCTTATACACGATAAAGTCAACACATTATCTTCAATTTACAACTGTACCAGTACACAAAAAGCAGTTAAATAAGTTATTACACAAATAAACATATGAAAACCAACAGTTAGTTGCTATTTATAATAAATGTTTTTAATTAATTTAATTTCCTCTACCTTGTGGTTCCCTAACTAAATATTTATAGCATCAGTCTCAAAAGAGAGACTTTTCTTACCTTTAATGCTGTGAAGTTGACTGCTTGCCTGCTATCTGTCTTTCTACAAATCAGACATCTACACTTTTAAAAAATGCTTTTTTTTTTACTGTAACCAAGGGTTAAAAACATTCTGAAAAATTTAGTATTTATTCAAAAGAAAATAAAAATAGATAGCATTGCGTGTCCTCATACATTCTGGATATCCCACCTCATGGCAGTGCGGCTGTTATTACAGAAGCGATAAACAACTGCATAGTAACGACCAGTGGTGGGCTGCGAGGGCCTTCAAAGCCTTCTGCTGGCCTAAAATCAATCAGAGATACTAACATACATTCTCAATGTTGGAGGCTGGAGAAGTACCTCTCTTCTCCAGCAGAGTCCGCCGTGGATCCTCCTGAGCAGAGCCCTCTGCACAGCTGCTGCTCGTTACCATCATCAGGAGGACCCACTACTTAAGCTGTCTTCAGACCTTGCCTCAACGCCGCAGTGTTGAGCCAGTTGGTTAGCACCTAAGCCCTGAACCTCTGAGAACTTTGCTTGCTCTGAGATCCTGACAGGATCCTAATCTTGTCTCTGTTTTTCCAGGAAAATCTGATTCTCCTTCGTGAAGCTCTGGAAGAGCTTAACCCACCGAGCCTGCCCTCAGAGCCAAACCTGAAGACTTCCCCTGGATTCTCTTGCAGCTCTGGACCAAGAGCTGGAGATCCTAAGTCAAGGTCAGCTACCTTTCAGAAGCAAGACGCTGAAGCAGCTAACGGACTCAGCTAATCAGACTCTCTCCAGTTCCAACAACCTTCCTCTCCAAGATCCATTCAAGGACCCACAAGGTACAAACCAGAGACTATCAAAGGACAAACCGCTAAGAGCCCAGCTAACTAACTGTCTTCCTCACAGACTCCGGTGAACCCGTTGCCCAGGACCATACCAGAACATACTACCATTGGATTGTATTCAATAAACTGGTGTTCTGCATAATTGGGTCACATTCGTGTACCGATCATGACACTCAAACTAAGCTTTAATTTTCTTCTTTCCAGCTCTATCAATTTATTTGAAAAACAATGATTTCTCTTAATTTTGTTGCGTTTCACTTGATGACCGAGTTGCTTCCATTACATTTATGTGATCTCAATATTTTTTGTCCAATCAGATTTCAGCCTTAGTGTATTGCTATGTCAATCAAATCTGCCCAGGGCCTTCAGAATTAGCAGTACTGGCTGATGTTACCTAACAATATTAGTGAGGAGCATTTTCTTCAACCAATCATGTTTCAGATTTGGGGGCAGCTAGAGGGCCCAAACATTTGTCAACATTTTCTGTCCTCTGATTGGTCAGAGCAAAAATATTTACAACCAAGTTAAGCTAACGACAATCTGCATTTTAGATTTGCTCTTGTTAAAAGTTCTTCTGGCCTTAATGGCTGATCCTTAATGGAGATACAAAGACTTCCTGCACAAAGACAGGAAGAAGGATTTTGTTTGTAAATAATCAGAACCTCTTGTGAATGTTACACATATTTTATTTTCACGCTTAATCTCCATTTTATCTGGTAATTAGATGCATATTGAATTTAAATGGCTCCTGATGGTGTAAATGTGTCAGAGCTGAGGTTATAAGGTAGAGGATTCTCTTAACTGGACTTCTTGCTTACTTGATCTTAGCGTTCTCGCTCACACTAATCTTTGTCTCAGTTATACTTGCGCTTGTTGCATTTCATATTTGAATACTATTGATTGTTTCATTTGTTAAAACGTGAAAGTGGTGCTATTAACCCCTTGACACCCATCATTGCAATATATATATATATATATATATATATATATATATATATATATATGTCATACATACATGTCATACATACATATGTATATATAAGAGGTGGGCATAGATCATTTTTTTAAAATCTAGATTAATCTCACTGTAATCTTGGAATTAATCTAGATTAAAATGGGTCATTTGTTTTCTGCCAAAGGGATTCATTAATCAGAATCAGAATTACTTTATTTACTTTAATAATCCCTGGCGGGAAATAACATAAGGATAGGAACAAAATAAGATAAGGGTAAGAATAAAATATGATAAGGATGATATGTGTGTGCTATCTAAATAATAGGTGAAAGTAAGTCTTTGAACAGGTTTCTCTAGTCAGATGGTGCATTAGACCAGGGGCTCATTTCCTGTTTCCAAAATGCATCACATAATACCACTGAACCAACATTTTCATAAAGCGTCCCACTTTACCCACATTCACCAAAGCAGTCATCAAGAAGCAAAAATAACTTTGTAGTAATCATTCGTGGTTTCGTGGTAAGATGAAATTTAAAATGACATAACATTGCCTACCTAAAGCGAAGGTGTGTAGTTCCCAGCTTGCATCGATGAGGTGTGCAGTAACACCGAGGTAGTTATTATTGACAGATATCCAGTGGTCCACTGTCAGTACTAAACACGTCGCCTCGACCAACTTCTCATCTTTTGCAGCTTTCTCTGTGGCGTGCTGGGCATGTATGAGCACCTGTGGCCACCCAGAGAACGAGCTCGAGCCCATCATCTTCAACCACGCTGAATGGCTTCCTTAAGAATAAATGTACCCTTAAGCAAACATGGCGGCTTTATAGCTGCATCCATGTTATCAGGTCACGTTCAAAGTGTTAACAATAGGCCTGCACACAAGACTGATTTGTTCACACCCCCAGATAGGCATCTGCGCTATATATATATATATGGAGATCAAGGGATAAAAAGTAGATAAAGTTGAGGGGTGCCCACTGAAGGCCTAGTTACCATATGCACTGCCCACCACTGCCAAGGAGCTAACCTTCAGTAGATCTAAACATGTCTAGTCCTTGTCTATGTCTAACCAGCAGATGAGGTGATCATGAGCTTTGGTTACTTAGGTACACACATTGATGAAAGGCTCAGTTTCTCTTTAAATGTGAATGAAATTAGTAAGAAAGCCAATCAGAGACTGTTTGTGATCAGGAAACTCAGGGGTTTTGGAGTGCACCCACAGGTTCTTCAGATAATCCCTTGTCAGCCTTTTTTTAGCATCACTGTGTGATTTGGGTACCTTGCAGTGGTAGACAGAAACAAGCTGAGCAGAACTGTTAAAAATGCTGGGTAGGTATATGTCTGAAGGCAAAAACTGAAGTTTCTAAAAAGACAGCAGTGAGCGGAACGGCCAGGTCCATTATCAGAGATGTGGATCATCACTTATCCAATGAGCTTAGACCGTTGCGCTCTTGACGTCATTACAGAATGCCTCAGCGAAGAGGGTCTATAAGTGTTGGTTTGTGCCGAATACAGTTAGCTTTTACAAAAAGAGCTGTTGAGCCTGACAACAGAGTATGTAACGCATGAAAGTATTGTTTTTTCATTTTTCTAAAATGATCTAATGTAATCTTTGATCAGAAACATTCTGGCGTAGCTCTAGTTGAATGTTTGCAGTAACTTTCAGCTGAAAAATACCTAATTTTTAAAGGTAAAGAGAGGGATCAGTGGTGGGCGAGTTGGTAAGCACTGGCATCTGTATACTAAAGCAATTTTTTCTAGTCTGAGTCAGATTTCATTTCATGCCAAAATATGTTATCATTTAGTGTTATTTAAAGAGTTTGTCCTGAATGATCTCTTCTCAGGAAAGAACCAGGGGGAGAATTTTCAAAGTGTAAACACAGAGCTTTCATTAACAAATATATGTGAACTAAGATCCAGAACCACATGCTACTCTGGGAGATAAACCGGTAAGCAGAGGAAAGGGTTTAAGCCTCTAAAACTCTCACAGCCAAAATAAGCAAAGCTGGAAGTAGGGCTGAACTATTTTTAAAAGTTGAAGGTAATCAGTGTTATAGTTCAAATATAACCTTTTTTTCCCCACTGGTCACCATGTGAAACAGGTAAACAAAGCACTAATCAATAATTATCGATATCGACAGATAAAAAAGGCCTACATTGTGATACGTTTTACAGCCATGTTGCACAGCCCTAATTTAGACTGACCTGGGATTTCAAATTTGGTCTCATCTGCATGGCCTTGCATTCGTTACCTCTTGAATGCTATAATTATTTAACAGACCCATGATGTCTCTACAGAACAACTTTATTCACACAAAGGGTAAATCATGTACCAATGAACTGTACAGTATGCTAAACAGAGTACTTCTCAAGGAAATTGGCTGCAGTTGGTTGTATTTAGGGGGATTGGAGTAAAGAACTCTAATGTTTCTGTTTGTCATATCATATTAGATTCAACAGATATGAATTAAGTTTCATACTTACTAACTCTGACTTAAAGGGGTCTGCATACTTTTCCAAAGCACCGTATTTCTTTTATCCTGTCTCTTTGTCATGTCTCTTTTCTGTGTTCAAGCTATTTATTGTCCTCTGACCTTCTGCCTTTGCTTTCAGGAGGATGACATGGCGTATGCGTCGGCGCTCCGGGACAATCTGTCTCTCCTTGGCCTTCATCACCATTTTCCTCCACCTCCTCCTTGCGCTCATCACACTCTCCATTCCTCACCTGCCTTGTGACACTACACTGCAACCAAAGATACACTTAAGGGATTTGGCACGCACCAACAACACCTCGGTGGGGGTCAGAGGTCTTGAGGAGCCACCACCTGATCCTCTTCAAAGAGATCCTTCCTATCAAGACGTTGGAAGGGAAGCAAAAATAAATGTTCAAAGACTCCCTTACAATAGCTTCAGATCGAAAGAAGGTAAAAATCCCCAGAATAACAACACTGAGAGCGCTGCCAACAGAACTGAACGCTGGGCATCCGACTTGTCAAAGCTCAGAGCGCTATTTGACCATCCACTTTACAACATGCCCAAACCCGTGGTTCCCGAGGATGACTGGCTTCTGAAGGTGAAACCAAAGGTCAAGCCGAGTCAAAGGAGCACCCAGATGTGGTCAGTACCACACAGCTCATCCAGAAAAGATCATGTCTGTACTGTATGTTTATGTATACACTATATACTATCCTACCTATATAAGTGCTTTTTCTTAAATTTACTAACCTTATGACAGGCCTTGTGAACTATAGTCTGACGCGTTTGTGTTGGGGCACCATTTTAGGGTTTGTTTGGGTTCGCCTCCTTCACTTTGTAACGCAATAAATTTTGTCCAGATTTACAGAAAATACACAATCAACATCTGTTTGCGAACATCTCCCTTCAGTTTTGAAACATCTACATATCTATTGATATTAGCTTGCATCATGACATCCTGGTGAATTAGAACCATCTTTTACTAAATCCAGTTTGCAGCAGAACATGGGATTCTTGGTACTTTAATGAAACCTTCAACTTCTGGCTTCTAAGATAAATGGCCCACAGCATTAGCAACCACCAGTTAGTGATTTAATGTCATACTCTGATGATGTCTTAATATATCTACCACTCAATTTAAAATACTCATTTTATTATTTTTGATATGGGGGGCTTATAATTTCTAATTTTCCTTCTAACTCCCCCCCATGTTTACCTTGTAATAGATGATAAATAAATCTTATTTTAGTACCTATATAGGAAACCCAGTGTGATCAGCGATAGCGGTACCAGAGTTTGAGCAACATCGTGCAAAATTATTTTAACTGAACCCATTTCAGTACAGCATGACAGCTTCAAAACCATTTCTACTGTATGTGTATGTCTGTTTTAACAGGGAAAGCGACACCCAGGATGGATATGATGACGCTCAGTGGAATAGTAGCAGTAGCAGCCAACCTCCGTGGCTACGCTTCCATCTGGGCATCACACGCTGGGAGCTTTACCCACACCGTGACCCCAACATGGAGCTTTTAACCCAGCAGCTGGCCACACATCGTATCGTCAGTGCAGGTATGACATGCAGCTATAGTAAGCTGTTTAGAGAAGGGGCAAGAAATGCAATGTTGTTTTTCAATATTTATTTGGATTTTTTTGTTTTCCTTCTATATAATTAAAGCAGTGAGTGTTTTTTTGAGAAAAAAAGGTTATTTTTAAAATTTTACTTCAGATGCATGGTATTTTGAAACAGCACCATAAACACTTTGATTTAAAGAGACATCGCCCGAAATAAAAATCATTGGTATTCTAAGCGAAATATGTCGTGGTAAGAAGGGCCACACAGAGCTCAAAGTCATGATGAAAAAAAGGGTTGTTGTAATCCTGCAATGCCTGAAGTTTGGGGCAAGACTTTCAAGCGGAGGATCAGTTTGAAGTTCTTCTCAAATGAGAGACGCTGAAGTTTGAAGGGACCTTTGAGGTTCAGCAGAAGTGGAGTGGGCTTAGTAAATGGTGGCCAAGAATGCATGAGCTGCTGAAGTAAACATAACGATGGAACTAACGACCCATTCATCGGTTACCATTGCATGTTTCCAAGCGATACAAGGCGTTGTCTATATAAGACTCAAACTCACTGCGGATCCAGACATTTGAATTGAGAAAGCTTCCTGGAGAGGTGGCGAAACGTCTTCAAATCTTGAAAACCAAGTCCAGTGGATATGTTTTGAATTTTTACAGAAATCTGACATTATTCAATGTAAATGACCATATTCATCTTAAATCCCTGGGAAAGAAATCCCTCAATAACAGGAGAGTGTTCAAAAGGTATGAAATCCTGCTAAAAATAACACAGCAACTCAGAAATTTACAAAATGTTCTAAATACATGAGCTGAATAAAATGTGCTACACTATCTGGTTATGACGCACATATCCTCTCAGATACACTGTATTTATGTATTTGCCTGGATGCTCCATTAAAAGCCAGTGTTTGGGTCACAGCGGGAGTTTGTGTGTGTTTGTGTTGCGATGGTAACGCTCTCTGTGCTTTTTTTCAGTGCAGAAGTCTGGTGGGACACAACTGAAGCTGGTTATGACATTTCCTAACTACGGACAAGCTCTGTTCAAACCTAAGAAGTAAGCTGGAAAATTAAAATAAACAAGCAGACTATTAAACCAAATGTGCCTAAAATATGATATTGAAATATTCCAGTAAACAAAGTGCTAAAAAATATACAATGAAATATGAAGAAAAACATAGTAGTAATGAATGAAAAAGTATTTAATTTGATATTAATTTCCTGTAGGGAACTTATATGTATGCAAGGAAGCAGTTTAAAGGTAATGTAGGAAAAACAATTAATGGAAATAACAGCAGGTGGAAAACTAATTTAGAAGAAGTTTCACTGTAAAACAGGAAAAGACACAGCCCCATTTATATTTAAAGTATAGTAGAGGATTTCTGAAAACACCCGCCCTCTCCTCTTAAAAAAAAAAAAAGCACATTCACAACCCAGTACCCGCTCCCGAGAGCATGCACAAGCCCATTTCTACTCATGCACACTCTGCTTAAAAGTTTCTGTTTCCACCGGTAAGTACAAATGGGGACAAGCAACATCTCACCAGAATGACTGAAAATTGGGACCACCACTTATTTTGATGATCCACTCGGAAAGAAAACATTATCCACTGTACCTTTAAATGGCACCCTTGAAAGAAATGATAAAAAGGCTTGAATAAAAAAAAAAAATCATCTATTGCAGTAGCATGACCTGATAATGACAAACAAGGCTAAATTTAACATTTAATGTTACATCCTTAAAATAATAGTTCTTTAACCTTTATAATAAAACAGATTTTGCCCCCAAACAAGCATTATATTACTGAAGGTAAAGATCTTAAAACCTAACTTACACAGATTTGCAGTAAAGTGTGTCATCCTGAGGTCAGAAGGTTTTCATCAAAACCATCAAATCTTGTACACCAGCTGATCTTTCCTTTGAATGGAGTGTCGGACAAAAGGATTGTTTTGAAAACTATTGTTTGGAGTTTGGTTAAGCTTTACCTGGGCTTTAACTGGAACACGCTGCTTTGGACAGATGAGACAAATACTGAACTTTCTTGCAACGAATGCTCCAGGTGGATTTGATGTGGAACAGAAGATGCAAAACAAGCGCTCTTCATTAATGGGGTTGCAGAATGAAGGTGGATTAAAATGCCCATGCTGGGATCTTTCTGCACTTAGCATGTTTTCCCTGTACATGCGTAGGTTTACTAAAGATGTTCTAGCTTCCTCCCACATTTCATATAGACGTTTGAGTTAATTGGTCTCACAGCTACCCTATGTATGGATGTGCATGGTTGTTGCTCCATGGTTCTCTGTGTAGCCCTGTGATGGACTAACTCTTGCATTTTAACCAATGACTGCAGGATATAAGCAGATAGCATGCCAACCACAACCCTGCATACATGAGGATGTATAGACAATGGACGGATTCATCCATGAAATAAGACCATAATTAAAAAATATATATTTTGTGTGCTCATTAAAAGTCTTCACCAGTGCCGTTACTGTGCATCCATTTAGCCATCTCTCAAGGCAACCATACAAGAGATAAAGTGTTAGGTTTGGAGGATGGTTTTTGAAAAGTTATCATTAGGCAGCATGTGTAAAAAGCTCCTCAGCTTGTTTTATATATATATATATATATATATATATATATATATATATATATATATATATATATATATATATATATATATATATATATATATATATATATATATATATATACACACACAATTCATTTTTTTTTTCAATTTAGATACTGTTACAAACTCAACTAAAAATCTTATGATGCAAGATATAAACTATGTTGCACACCAGTCCAACACATCGCCATTGTATGGGGGTATTTTTGAACGAGAAAATGGAATAAATTACAAACTTGCTATAACTGATTTTAGTCAGATTCTTCTCATTGTGTTAAATAAAAAGTGAATGTTTGAGTGAAATCTGTATGTTTACTGTAAGAAAAGTATAAGTATAATTAATCTTTTCCCGAACAGGCAGGAGAGAGATGAAGAAACTAACTACAATCTTTACTACTTCTCTGACTTTGAGAGACATAATGCAGAAATTGCAGCCTTTCACCTGGACAGGTAAATTATCACTTTATCAAAGCCCATAAATCCACACTTCTGTCATAATAAGTATCATAGTCGATGACATGTGTGTTTATATCTTTATTTCTTTTTTCCTTTCTTCTGTGCCTTTTATGTCTTTTCTTTCTGTGCTTGTCTTTCTTTTCATCTGCCTTCATCTCCCTGCAGGATCTTAGGTTACAGGAGAATCCCTCTTGCAGTCGGGAGGCTGGTGGATGTGGTGAAGGAGATCAAAGATGTAACAACTGACCGCAAATTGGCTAAAACCTTCTTTAACTCCCCCGGTACATACTGCTAAATTATCTATGGATTTTCTTGCGAGGCCTTTGAAATTCTGAATAATCCTTTTTTTAAAAATTATTATTTTGACATTGCTATCTCCTCTTCATTACTGACCTGTATTCTCCTTGTCATGCTCCTCTTTCTCCCCCTAGTGGGCAACGTGTGCTTCTATGGCCAGTGTTCCTACTACTGCTCCACAGAGCATGCTGTGTGTGGAAACCCCCAGTACCTGGAGGCCTCGATGGCTGTGATGCTTCCAGATCTCTCCCTAGCCAAACGCAGAAGCTGGAGGTCCCCATGGAGACGGTCATACAGCCGCAGCAAGCTGGCACGGTAACTAGACACAGAGAAGTCCATCTAAGAGATTATTTGTAATTTAGTGTGCTACATTAAGATAATCCACAATCTTTTTAAAGATAAGAATTTCGATAAAAATCTAACTGTAGCCATAGCTATTGGGATTGAAGTCAGAAAGTGAATATTTATGAAACTTTGTTTCAGATGGGAGACGGATCCTGATTACTGTGCAACTGTGAAGAAGACTCCTCCATATGACAAAGGCACCAGACTGGTGGACTTCATAGACTTGGTTATACTGGATTTCTTGATGAGTATGTTTCTTCTATCCCACTGAAGACATGTTACTTTACTTAACAGTTAAAATTAATCCAACATATTACAATCTTAACAGCAGGCTTTCCAAATTGATCCTGTTAATAATACAGCAAATTAAGTCAGATTGACTTTATAATTTCAATTGACAAATGTTATATGCCGTGCTGCTGTCATCATGTCTCATCATGACTCTGCAACAACCCCACTTGCTGAGCAAGCATGTGGTGAGTGTGAAAAACCTCCAGCAGACTTCTACTGAGGATAAATCTACATAGCTTAAGCATTTAGCAGCATTTCATCATAGATTCAGGTCTACAAATCCAGAAAACAAAGACATGGTTTTTGTGAAAAATGATGACCTCATTTTCTCTATAGTCTTAATTGTTCCTTATTATGTTCTTTTTAAAACCAAAATATCATCAGTAAGTAATAATGTCTATCGTAACAGAAAAATCAAGGCTTTCCCTATATATTTTTTAATAAAAATGTGTGTATATATACACACACATATATATATATATATATATATATATATATATATATATATATATATATATATATATATATATATATATATATACACACACACACACACACACACACACACACATATATATATATATATATATATATATATATATATATATATACACTCACTGGCCACTTTATTAGGTACCCCATGCTAGTAACGGGTTGGACCCCCTTTTGCCTTCAGAACTGCCTCAATTCTTCGTGGCATAGATTCAACAAGGTGCTGGAACCATTCTTCAGGGAGTTTGGTCCATATTGACATGATGGCATCACACAGTTGCCGCAGATTTGTCGGCTGCACATCCATGACGCGAATCTCCCGTTTCACCACATCCCAAAGATGCTCTATTGGATTGAGATCTGGTGACTGTGGAGGCCATTTGAGTACAGTGAACTCATTGTCATGTTCAAGAAACCAGTCTGAGATGATTCCAGCTTTATGACATGGCGCATTATCCTGCTGAAAGTAGCCATCAGAAGTTGGGTACATTGTGGTCATAAAGGGATGGACATGGTCAGCAACAATACTCAGGTAGGCTGTGGCGTTGCTACGATGCTCAATTGGTACCAAGGGGCCCAAAGAGTGCCAAGAAAATATTCCCCACACCATGACACCACCAACAGCAGCCTGAACCGTTGATACAAGGCAGGATGGATCCATGCTTTCATGCTGACCCTACCATCCGAATGTTGCAGCAAAAATCGAGACTCATCAGACCAGGCAACGTTTTTCCAATCTTCTATTGTCCAATTTCGATGAGCTTGTGCAAATTGTAGCCTCAGTTTCCTGTTCTTAGCTGAGAGGAGTGGCACCCGGTGTGGTCTTCTGCTGCTGTAGCCCATCTGCCTCAAAGTTTGACGTACTGTGCGTTCAGAGATGCTCTTCTGTCCACCTTGGTTGTAACGGGTGGTTATTTGAGTCACTGTTGCCCTTCTATCAGCTCGAACCAGTCTGGCCATCCTCTGACCTCTGGCATCAACAAGGCATTTCCGCCCACAGAACTGCCGCTCACTGGATGTTTTTTCTTTTTCGGACCATTCTCTGTAAACCCTAGAGATGGTTGTGCGTGAAAATCCCAGTAGATCAGCAGTTTCTGAAATACTCAGACCAGCCCTTCTGGCACTAACAATCATGCCACGTTCAAAGTCACTCAAATCACCTTTCTTCCCCATACTGATGCTCGGTTTGAACTGCAGGAGATTGTCTTGACCATGTCTACATGCCTAAATGCACTGAGTTGCCGCCATGTGATTGGCTGCTTAGAAATTAAGTGTTAACGAGCAGTTGGACAGGTGTACCTAATAAAGTGGCCGGTGAGTGTATATATATATATATATATATATATATATATATATATATATATATATATATATATATATATATATATATATATATATATATATATATATATACATATGTTTTTTTTTTTAAAGAACATTGCATCTATAAAAAGAAACATTTCCTTTGTGCATTTCCAAATAATTTATTAGGAAAAACATTAAAAAAAAACATTTTATGATCTATAATTTTATAATACTTATTCTTAAAGCTTTAGACTACAAATAAAGGATGGTTTGGTTAATTATTATCTAACTCATAAGTTACCACACAACACTGGAAGAGTTCTTTAAACCCTTACTTACAAAAAATGTAAGAATACTACTTAAGATAATGAATAACTTATTTCAAGTTCAGGAAAATCACCAAAAGAGCGCGATGTACTGCGTCATGTTCGAGATTTTAAGGTCGCTAATTGTGATGATTGTGACCCCTTGTGCTGTTAAACCTTGACAACGGTTTCCCTGCGCGTTACCGTGGCAACGAGCTGTGCAGCGCATTACCTCGAAACTTCTCCGGAGCAGGTAAGAAAGTTTCTTAAGTATTTATTTTATCGGCGCTTTTAGCCAGTAAGTTACGGTTCGAGCGCGTATTAAAGATTAAAAATGTGTATTTAATGGTTTTCTGATAGTTTTGTTTGTAAGCAAAGATTATATTTTTTTGACTATGACCTGGATGACTGAGAACCTTCATCAGCACAAGGATTATATATTCAACAAGGGTGGAATGTTGTTTACCGACCGAGTCGGATGAGTACGAAGGAGTATTATGAGTTGCCCGTAGGGACCTAAATAAGAATTAACTTCAATATACACATATTAAATTCAACTCTCAAAAACGTGCTTAAACACTAGTGAAAAGCTCTCACATAAACAAGTGAAAACATTTACCTCTTATATAACCTACTCAAAAGCTCTCATACAAAGTAGTGAGAACTGTTCATATAAACTGGTGAAAAACTTTAACATACGCTACTAAAAAGCTTTCATATAGGCTACAGTGTTGTGCGAAATACTGTTCCCCTGTGAAAATCTGTCCCCCCCTGTGTCGGGAGCGCGCATTGCAGCCACATGAAGTGCACCTGATCAACAACTTGTATAATCATGTCAAGATTGAAACATTTAGTTCAATTGGCAGCTGTTGCTTACACAATTGTAAAATTAAAAAGAACCAGGTCTTCTGGAGAGGAGAGAATGGATATTTTAGCTGCCTGAAATATTCTGTTCCCCCTCCATAACATGGGAAGAAATTAATTTAGCTGCAAGTCTTTAACTGTGCTTTTTCCTCTCCTCATCAACAACAAACCCTCTGGATTTGGTGGTATTTGATCATTATTTGCCTAAATTAAAGGAAGGGAACCATATATTTTAGCTGCCTGAAATAATCCATTCCCTCTCCATAACATGGGAACAAATTAATTTACCTGCCATTCCTGTGATTTTGGTTGCATTTGCTCCTTATTTGCCAGAGTTAAGGAAGGGGGAGCTTATATTTTAGCTGCCTAAAATAATCTGTTCCCACTCCATAACATGGGAACAAATTAATTTATCTGAAAATCCTGTGATTTAGGTTGCATTTGCTCCTTATTTGCCAGAGTTATGAGGTGTACATGAAAGCTTTCTAGTAGTGTATATGAAAGCTTTTCAGTAGTGTGTATATAAACTTTATTCTTGTAACATTATGACTTTATTCTCGTAATATAAGAACTTTATTCTCGCAATGTTATGACTTTATACTCAAAATAAAAAAATAAAATCTCTAGCCTGGCCCTAATACTCCGTTGTAGGATGAGTGCTTGTTCATATTATGGTGGGGGTTTTTTTACCCAGTAAGCAGGGTAAGGTAAGTACGGTAAGTGACTGACAAAGATTTCTTTAATGGACGGAATGGATGGAACTTATTTGTTACATTCAGACAGTTAGTTTTGTTATTTGAAAACCAAGAAAGAAAATATGGAGTCACCAGTATTTTATTTTTAATTTTTTTTAGCAAAACAAGTATTGACATATCTAACGCTATCCGTTTCAGACAAAAACATGACCTGCCTGAATAAGCTGAGTGTATTGTTCAGCATAAGTTCTTAATTATTAACTCAAGGTCTTCCATGTAGAAACAATAAGGCAAGTGTATTTGTATAGTACATTTTAGAAGTACGCATTTTAAGCACTTAACAGGATGAAAAAAATTAGATACACACAAAGGAGCTTTGGACATATATATAAAAAACTTAGATTATTGATATCTTACTTAAATGATATATATATAATAATAATAAAAAAAAAAAACACTTGAAAGCTTCAGTGGCATTTTCACATCCTGTCAAGTGATGTACATTTCAGGATTGAAGGAATAATGTCTAGGCAGGATCAAGAAAAAAACATTCATGCATTTAACTTCAGTAGAATTGATCACTGTAACAGTGTC